ACTTTATTTATTTATATTAATATTAATCTCAAATGCTTTTTTTACTTTAAAGATTAATTTGAATTAATTGTCTTTTGTCATTAAACATCTATTTATATTATTATTTTCCGTCAGCATATTAATTTTCCAATTTGTGGTCAGACACTGGGACAATTACGTCTCAGTATCCGACCGGCTTGTCCGGCCACTGGTACATTGACGCATTCTATTATTTATTTAAATATTTTAATTAATAATTGTTATAAGTGGGTTCAAATAATTTTTCCTTGCTTAAGGGAGTCTTGAGTTTTCAAATGAATACAAATATTTATATTAAAAACCTTTTTGACATTATAAATTGTATTATTTTTGAGAACCTAACGCTTAAACGTCCAGTTACTGGAACATTTACTTTAATTGTTTGCTTAGGACCACAAATCTTTAGCTTTCTCATATATTTTTCTTATGCATTGCACAATGTAAACTGACATAAATTGTATTATAAAACTCGCAACTTGTTATTTAGGATCGATGTATAAAAGAGAATTAAACCATTATTTTATTTAGAATTCAATATTTTATGTCTCGTATTAAGTTGAAAAAAATTTTTAAATCACACATACAGTACTTTTGCAGTTTATCATTTGTATCATGCATTATTATATTTGCAATTTAGGTATAATATCGTAAATATTGCAGTATATCAATTCTTCATAATTTTATAAATTATAGCGCAGTAAGCATCGTCAATTTTCTATCTGTTCGACAGATTATTCTCCTTGACCGCGCGCAGAATTCAAAAGGTCTTTCAATTTCCTTTGAGACTACTATGCAACGATGATAGATAATCTCCACATTCCCGGAAACTCGTAAATTCAGAATGTATAACGTTGAGAAATATAGATTGTCGATAAAATGGTTCTGTGACAAATTTGATAGAGTGAAAAACATTTGATGCAAAATAAATAATATACGATGTTAGCATCAAGATCTCTGCAATGCACGTCATTTTATAGTTATATGTCTATTCTACCCGCAACAAATAAACTAGCTTGTTTAAAGCTTACGGCTTAAAATCAAATTTTAAGAACTTCTATCTTTGAAGATCCGTTCTTTTTATCGAACAATATCAAAGCATATTTTTTCTCCTGTTTTATTTTTAGATAGGCAAGAACTTCTAATTAGCAAACATTATACACTTTCGAACTCTTAAGTTATTCTGCGTAACTTGTATTGTAGAATTCGCGAAAAAAAAAAGGGGAAAATATTCTTAACGTTTTGTATACATCGTGATGAGAATATCAGTATTATATTAACAGAGTTGCATTCACCACTTGCACAATTCGTGCTGAATAGTCAATTCTGAGTTTAGATAGCTCGAGGCGAAGATTCTTATTCCATCGGGGCGAAAGTTCTATTGCATTATAACAGAGCGGTAGTACAGTGAAAGTTTAACGAGTTATAAGCTCGGCAAGAATCGTCGCAGTATGGTACATGTACGAAATACATATCACGTTAAAGAGAGTACCGGGATTTCCTGTCCGCTAAAGTTAGAACGATAAATCGAACCGGAATGCTAATTCGACTGAATAGTTTGTCTCGCGCTTTGCCTTTCCGTTGCCGGCATGATATGCTAATGGCATTCCTAATCTTCTTCTCCGCCTTTCCTGAGTATATATCTCACGAGCATCTGCTCTCATTTATTCTACTTTCAGAAAGAAAGTAATAAATTGTAATTAATAAATAAGGGAGTACGCCTACGAATCGATTGCCTACAGCATCATTTGCCTACATCTCATTTGCCTATGAATCGAGATTGTCTACAGCTCAACTGCCTACATGCCTACATTTTTGCGCACAAATAAAAATTTCAGAAACGAAGACACATTTGTCTACATGTATTATTGCCTACAGCTCGATTGCCTACATGTATTATTGCCTGTAAGTATCATTCTCTGCTTTAAAAACATAAATTATTTCGTTATGTAATTTAACTTTAATTTTATATTTGTACGCAAAAATACTTGTAGGTAATCGACGAGGAGGTAATCACTAGCTGAAATATTGTCCCATAGATTACATGATTTCATATGATTTTATCTGATTACAAATAATTTTTTTCACTACATATGAAGTAATTTAGTAAAATATACGATTTTATTTAATATTATACAATGATTTCTCGTGGTTGCATATGTAATTATCGGATTATACATAGAGATTTCATATGAATTTTATAATGATTTCGAGGACTCTGTCTCACGATTATATTAAGTGGTTATCCCCTCGGCAATAGATCTGTAGGCAATAATATGTGTGTGCAATCGATCTGTAGACAAATGAGATGTAGGCAAACGATGCTATAGGCAATCAATTTATAGACAAAAGGAGCCATAAATAAAAGACAAAGTTTTTCTAGTCTCAATGAATATTACTTAAAGAACATGATTCTTATAGTAAGTCTTTTTGTAGAAAGATGTCTCAAAGTAACTGGCATACTCAGCAGTAATATTTCATCCATTCGGTACGAAACCATTTCAAAGAACATATCTTTTGATTAGTTTTGTCGGACATTTAAGAAATTCTACACTTACCAGCCGTATTCACACCTATCCAGGCATTACCGTTGTAATCCCGGAACTTTCGAAGAGAGCTCACATATAGATGCTGCACAGAAAGGGAGGCGAAAGAGAACGGAAAAAAGAGGCAGAAGACAGTGGGCGAAGGGAGTGGAAATGGACGGATCCAGCTAAACGAGCAGATTCGTAATCCTTTTACTGCCGCACGACGAAAGGCTTTGATGCTGACGAGCTTAGCGCTTAGCGACTTTCGTAACCGTGTCAAGCCGGCCTAAAGGACGAGTCGAGACTGAGATGCGTCGGCAAGCCTTTAGCGCGTTAAGAGCCATTCGTCCAGATCTTTTCTGACATTACGTCTGCTTTTGAGATTATATCCCTGAGACTGAGGTGCGAGAAATTTATCGCTTGACAAAATATCACACGTTCTTTCCGTTAAAAAAAATCTTATCTTATTATTATAGATGCAATTCTTCAATTATAAATGTCGCTCCCTTATCTTCTTCAATCTTCATTTTCTCTCTTTGTCCACCAAAGAATATCACTTTGCTTCACAATAAACGGAAATGTACTTTCATTTCGTATTAGAATGACGCTAATTAATACAATGTATTATTGAAAAAAATCGTTATCCGACTTGACTATGAAATGTAATCATCTTGGAAACCGTGAAAGTAATTGAAACACAAAAGTTCTCGAGACGGATCAGCAAGCTTTTAGGGAAATATCGATAATGTGCGGCCGTTATTCTTCCGAACAATTGCGTTAGCGAATAACGTAAGACAGGGCGTTATAGATTTAAGATATCGATGCCGATCGTAAAAGACGCACTCCTCCCGTGTACTTAAAACTTCTTTATGGGATGAAATTTGAACTTTAAGAAGATTATTTGCAAGGTCGTGATGATATTAAAGATGTTAGGAAGTACAATTTAAAAATTTTCCATGACATTTCGGGACTGATGTAAAGAAAGAAATAGTCTTATTTAATTTTTCGTTCAAACATCGTTCGCGGTGTGATCACTGTAATTAAATATAAACGTCACAGTCTGAAACTCGACAGTAATCAAGCCGACGTTAAGATCAACCTTCTATTCAAAAATTCATCAGTCGAAAGTTATTAAGAAGATGAGTTCCATCTTCTGAGAAGAATACTTAATGAAGAATGAAATGCTGGTATATCATAAAAAATAAATAGCTTCGTTATATCCTATAATTCTTAATATTCTAAGATGTATCGCCATTTCAAATGATCTATAATTCATTTCAAATTGTATACTTTTTATTTTATTATAATATATATTCTATGTACGTGTGTGTACTTCTAATTACTATATTGCTTTCCATATCACAGCATATAAAATTAGAAAGTGTAGAATTCTATTTTAAATTTTGACACACATTATAAAAATAGATTTTAAGCCAATAGTGTCATAAAATATTAAATTATGATATTATTAAGTTGAAATATTACGTTGCCTTCCAATTCTATGGATAAGAAATGCATCATTTTTTAGTCACAAGGAAAATTCGGTAAGAGTAAAATTTGAAAATATCTAAAATATTACATAAGTATATGTATAGAGTAGATAGATCTAAAACATAAAATAACTTTTTGTAGCAGTTGATATTTGATTTTAGGAATTTAAGAATATTATTTTAAATGTTTTATGCAGTTTTGTCTGACAATGAAAATTCGATAAGTGCAAAATTCAAAAAATGATCTGAAGCTTTCCATGAAAATAGAATAGATGAACCTAATCATGAACAACTTTTTGTATTTAGTGATATTTGATTTTAGGGATGAAAACATCTTCCTGAAAAAAATCAATTTCTAAACGAATATCATCGAAACAATAAAAAAAATGATTTGGTTTAATAAAACTTGGCTAAATTTGGTTTAATAAAACTTGGCTAAATAAAACTTGGTTTTAAAAGCACTTCTATTCAAAACATTTTTTCATATTTCTTATTATTACGGTGATATCCGCTTAAAAACGTAAACATTCATTCATGATTTCTTTCAAAAAGTGTTTCTACCTCTAAAACTGAAACAGCAGCTACAAAATATGTTTTGTAATTAGATCTGCCTATTCTACACTCACATAAAGTTTCAAATTTTTTTTAAATTTTTCACTTGCTGGACTTTTACAAAGAATTGCATATTACATTTTAGAAGACATTCTTAAACCAGATTGTACGCATATGTGTATCTTGCTTCCACTTTTCCTTAAAATGTTTCTTACATTATCCACTCACAAATGGATGTACATATATAAAGTGTAAATGTCCGCAATATATTGAGCTCGGGTCCGTTGGGTTTACTAAGCCCAAATGACTGTGAATCAGTCATCTCTACGGGAAAGTAGCTTTATCGTAAGAAATTGTATTCAGACTGTCATCTAAAGAGATGAAAACTGTAGAGAAGACATCTTACATCTTTCAGCTTGTCGCCCACGAGAGACGATTGTCGACTTCAGCTTCGCGAACAATGGCTGCAATGAGTTTAGGTTTCATCGTTATGGTCACGCCATGGACGATTCAGGAAGTCGTTGCAGCCTGCACCGGAAGTAAGCCACCGCCATTTCTCGACTTCCTGGCCACGTGGCTGGCTCTCTCCAACAGCTTCTGGAATCCTTTCCTTTATTGGCTGCTCAACAATCATTTCCGCCGAATTTCGAGAGAGTTTCTCTTTACCAAGGTACGAGTATATAAAAATTTATATTTTAAGTTAATTAATATTAACAAGCCTTTTGTTTATTACATTGATACGTAAAACATAGATTTGAAAAAGCAATACAAATAAAGCAATAAAAAATAAATTGCAAAATGAAATGCAGCTATAAAATTTTATTTGTCTTTTGACACAAAATTTCAAATCAAGGGAGAATCATATGCTAATGCAATTAAAATTTATTTTCAATATAAGTAACAAAACGACAAGTTTTATATTTTTGTTTCATCAATTTATTTCAGAATAATAGAATTTATTTCGCTTCTGCTTCCTTGTATATATATTCAAAAACCAACTCGCCCGGCTTCTACGAATTATATTAGATTATCACGACCGTAGTCAACACTATTTCATATGTGTGAATTTTACGTAAATTTTGTTATGTACAAGTGGAAATTCGTGGATGCGTGTTTTCAAACGTCCATTAAAGTTTAGTCCGATGTAGCACTTATAGCAAGTGCTCATCATTTTTTCCTACTAATTGGAAACAAAAATTGGATAAGAAATGGAAGTAAAATATCGCGTTTTTGTAAAAGATAAAATCACAAGAATAAGACATAAATATAAATAATCTTTTTCATGCGCAATTAATTTGTATATAATAATTTATTATTAATGATAATTTATAATTAATAAGTGTATAATAATTATAATTTATAGTAATATTTGTAATTTATGATAATATATATAATATTACAAATGTTTAATAAATTTAATTTATAATTAATGATAATTTATAATTAATAAAACGTTTTATATATAAAAATGTAACGTTTCTATATTCTATATTATAATTTAAATACATTGGATTCAGCGACGTATGATCAAGAAAATAAAATAGCGATGAGTATGTAAAATATAAACTACGGAGAGAAGAAAAGTACAGTAAACAGAAAATTTATACGATTAGAAAGGTTCAATAAGTTTGTAAGACGAACGCTTTCTTTGTTTACCTAGGTTTCTTTTTCTCCCGATCGTTTTATTTTTTCGTTACATCACAGGCTCCGCATTTTCCGTCTTGTGATTTCACGCTTCACTTCTTTTATTCCGCGAAATCAATCGTGCGCTCGGTGCTGCAACAGAATCAGTAAATTCCTCGAAGAGGATGGCGGTTCACGTCACCAGCGAACGAATGAAGACGTACGACTTAACGCGACTTTCTAGGAAAACACGATGGAAAGCGACAGTACCTACCGGGAAAACAAGATTTATCCGGTGCAAAACGCGTTACGCAATGCCCTTGATACTTTCCGCGACAGATCCAGCGGTTGGTCCCTTCTTTTTCGCTGAATTCTCTTTTCGGATTCAGTAGGAAAGAGGGAAAACGGCAGTACGTCGCGTAGCTTTGCCGCGGCCACATAGATCTTGGTGCTTCGACTTTACAGACCATGAATTCCGAAAAGCTGTCGGTGTGTAATAAATCTTTAATCGCCGCGCGAAGTGCACCGCGACCTCCTCTCTACGCTCACCGGATGCAAAACTACATGCAAGTACAATAAAATACTCGTGCAGCACGTTTGATATTTTTTTTGCAATTGGCATACATGAGTTTTGATTGGCAAATGACGAATGAGTTTGAAGTAAAACGACGTCAGTGTATCATGTGGATCAAAGTGTATCTTGTGGATTAATTTACTTATTGTTTTCGTTAAAAAAAAATGCTAATCGATCAATCGGTGAATTATTAAATTTATAATAAAATTATAATATTGAAAGATCACAATTAAGTGTATATTTAAAATTCAAGAGTTGTTTCCACTAAAATTGTTTTTAAATATTGAATGATTTCTACATGTTACTTCTTCAATGTTAGGTTTTATTATAAATAATAAATATCTTGAAGTTTTAATTAAGAAAAATCGTCTTAATATTCGACGAAAAATTTATTATTAATAATTCGAAGATATGCGAATTACTATTGGAAAATGTACATAGAGAGAGAGAGAGAGAGAGAAAGAATTATAGATTTGTGCATAACAACTCATAATCTGCTTCTATATATATATATATATATATATATATATATTAAATTTTATGCTGGCACAAGTGGCAGTATTCTGTATGTGTTAACGTTTCAGTAAATAGATCGATTAGCTTACAAAAATCGCTTTACATACGTACGAGAATAAGTACCTTGAGAATCATATCATGCTGGATATTGCAGTTAAATCTTGGTTTTTACTGACTCAAGTATTGCCCATGAAATTTAGATAAAACAATTTACGCAAGGTAGTATTCCAAAACAGAACACGAGTATCGTTAAATTTCTTACATTCTTTTCGATTATATTTATATGATATAAATAATATGAAAAGACTATATTATACATGTCTCATGTATGATTTGTAATATAAATATGCATAAATTAATTGGCATAACCAAGCGAACTTTATACCAAGTAATGTAAAAATTATTTTGAAAAATTATTATAAATTTTATTATTTTCTTTAAAAAAAGAAGGGAAAATATAGAGATAGAAATATTATATAGCCGACAAAAAATTTCACCAAATATTCTACCAAAAATAACAGTAAGTGAAAAGTTATTTTTCACTCTTTCATAACTTGAATTGAGAAAAAGAGGTAGTAACATGTAATAATAGTATGCTGCTATGAAACAAACTCCAACTAAATAATTGATATATTATTTTAACCCATGGTACATTATTGTGTAGGAAATAGTTTGTATATTTACATATTCAACTGTATCCCTTGAGGATCAACGTTGCATTTGAAGCATTCTGTTCGTGCACAAAGTTTATGAAAGCAGCAATATATATCGCTTACAATTAAACTACTCTATGTTAATCTGATAAATGAAATACATAAATGTATGCATGAATACATTGCGGTGATATTCAATTATCAGGGAGTTTTAAGATCAATTTATTATCCGTTCTCACAAGGGAAATATTTCAACCTTATCACGCAGGTAATCAATAAAGCTTATAAAATCTACTCCTACTTGGAACGATTGATTTATCGTTTGTAAACTGACAAGCATTATTCAACCATCAATGCATGTCATGATTGATAATTCGGTTAATTTTAATTTCCTTTTTATATGCAGATTCTGTGCAGATCTAAGCCGTTAGGAACAAAACAACACTGCTGCTCGACTAGCACCGGTGGCTTAGATGTTTGCAGCATCGCGGGTATCGATCTATCAGGTATGTTAAACAAATGTTATCGCGTTAAAAAAGAAGTCAATCAATCTGAAAAATTTCTTTATGTTAAATTTCATGTAGCGGCAATGCGTAGCAATTAACAATAAAAATGTATACTGAATTTAAAAATTTTTTAAACAAAAACTTTTAAAACGTATTTGTAAATCATTTGCATGATCTTTTCCTAATAAACAATTTGATTAAATAAAAGAGCTATGAAAAAATAATTATAAAAATTGAATTAGTTAAATTAAAATTAAATTAACAATAAACTTTTCCATACGCTTTAAATTTATCTATTGTGTTAATTACGACAAAATTCATCTGGTTGCTTTTACGTTCATGATCTCGCATTGGCAGCAAGGGAATTAACATAATCAGTGTTTTGCGCTAATTAAACCGAGGGGAATCTTTTGACAGCATTCATTATCAACATTAACTGAATTCTCATGCTCTATATGACATCCATAAACGAAGATTTAATGTGGTCGCTAATAATAGTCAGCGTCATGATTTTCGCATAAATTCGAATTGTGTCATAATCACATTTGGAATCATATAGCGTATCAGACTTACGATTACTGCTATTGATTACGTTACAACATGTTTGTCACTGCTTGCCGCAATTGCCACTACGTATTGCGTTTAAGTAAAATATTAATAGATTTCTTACATAATTTGGCTTTTATTACTAAATTAATCAGATAAAATTTTTAACGTTCGTAATTTTAAATAAAAGCTAGAAAATCAAAGTCGCCAAATTTCTTTTATTATTAAAGTAACTACATGTAATAAATGTAGTTCCTTTAAATGAAATTTAAAGGAATAATAAATTTTTCCTTTAAATATAAATTAAATATTAATATTAAATTATATTAATATAAATTAAATACAATAATATTAAATATGTAATAACATTTTACAGCAAAAGTAAACATAGGGATCCTTTGTAAATTAATAAATTCAATTTTTATCACGATTTCATTTCGTAATATTAAATAAAACAAGTTTTTAATTTCCAGGTGTACATAAAAGAGGAGAGTAATACATTACATAAAGAAAATAATATCTATTAAATTCTCTTTCTAATAAAGAATTAATTTTTAATCCGTATAAAAATTAAAAAATAAATGTATCTAACTTTCAACGAAATTGTAATAACTATGTCTTTCTTTGCAACAATAATCGCGAGAATATCGCTGAATATCGCATTAGGAAATATGTCAGTAATTTATCGACTTGATTGAAATAAAACGTGCAACTCCGAAACAAATTAGCTCGTGCACTCGCTTCGAATTTATCGTTCGAAACGATAATTTACGCTGCGCGGAAATAATTATCATACGTTATATAATACAATCCTGTTAATAGCGAATATTACCATAGCCAGTGCTTCAAGCTTTCATTGTTCGAAATTTTTTATTTCAGGTTTGGAGCGTTGCTCAATGGAACGATGCTCAATGGCGCGTTGTTCCTCGTTATCATTAGCGAATACACCGCCGCTCCCTTGGGAAACCGGACATGTAACACATGGTGACGTAGCATCCACGTGAGGTACAAGCGTTGCATAAATATATGCTTCTATTCTATTATTCACTATTTGCTACCTGTTATTCTACGTTATATAGAATCTTATATCTCCACAATATTAAAATTCCATGCCTTTAATCAATTTGCATAAACAGCTTTATATCTGTTAATAAAAATGTGCATGCATTAATAATTCTTAAGTTACAGAAAAATGAGAAGAGCTTTCGTCTTGAATAAATTTTAATAATTATTGAATCAATTTTCATAATTGTCACAAAAACTCTTCATTTAACATATGCAGTTTATTATTGATAATCAGAATGTCATAAATCAATCACAGAACTGTATTAACATAAGAACTTTATAAATATAAATCTTTATGTTTGACGAAAATGATGTCATGTACTACAAAATTTATTATAACTGTGAAAAATATCACCTCAAATATCACCAAATTGTGCTTTAAGACCGAAAATTTAATTGGTTTGTGTAGAATTGGATATGTATATGTATAAATTCACTCTGAAATATTATTATGCATATATGAAGTTCTAGTTCGGATAAAAAAAGCATTGCTTTTCTTAGTTGTGTTTTCATATATCGGTCTAATATTATTATTGTTTATTGCTTTTATTATTATTTAAACAAAGTATTGCAAAATTTTTTAGACTAATCTTGTTTCAACATTAAAAGTAATGAAAATGCGAACGAATTGTTACTTTTTAAATAAGGGTAATGATAACGACTTATTTTTTTAAATTAATAATTAATATAAATGATAACTAGTTATTTATTTGACTCGATAATGAGTAACGGTAATTAGTTACTTTTAAAAAGTAATTTTTCAATTCTTGCTAATAATAAATGTCTATGGTAATTTCCACAGCCACAGATGCCGCCACGCAGACGGAGGATTTCGGATCTCCGGACGACGCCAGTTAGTACAGCGTGGCGGCAAGCCGACATTCGATGCTTCAAAACTACTGGGCACAATATCCGTCATCTATGCACCGATATCTGCAAGACCATGTCGTATCCTCGCTGGAACGAGGACGAGTTTCGCGCATCGAAGAAGAGAACAATCGCGACAACGTCGCAACATTAGATGGAACGAGCCGTTATCATCGACATGATCGACAGAATCGCTTAGAATTCACGCGTTTTAAAAGTTTACCAGATCTTATCCGAGATATGGAACAGCGATGAAACACTGATTAACGAACACATCGTTGAATCAGAATGTTGCTGTACATCACTGTCGTCGTCGTCATTATTTCATCATTATTCTACATAAGAAAGCATGAACTCACTGATTGCAACAGCGTGAAGGAACGCGAATTTCATGCTTCGAGACGAGCGTACACGAAGCATGTGTCGACATACCGCGATTAGCTCTCATCGCGACGAGATCGATTACGGAAATTAATTACGACACCAACGAGGATACTAATCGCGCCGCTCTCGACGATATACATGTAGATGTTTAATCACGGAGCATACTGCGAGTGTTAACGTCATTCGCGCCCGCATCCCCATTTTCCACGATTAATTATTCACGCGTGAGTGTTCATCCTACAAGCTGCTCACCTAAACGTAAAATTGCTTCTTCCTTGAGCATATAATTTTGAATACTTTTAAAAAAATTTTTTAAGATAAATTCATTTAAAAGCATAACTTCCCAATTCAAAACATTTCTTCTTATTCATAGATCAATTTAAAGGCAAGTCCTTATTCAAGACATCTTACTGTTAAAGTAAATTGACAAGGCTGCTTCAAGTTGTGTGATGCACTCCACGTTAAACTTGCGTATTGAATAATTATGTATTTCGAGAAAGAAAATGAGACAGAACGTTATGTTTAAATTGCAATTGTTTGCAATTGTTTGCAAGCTCAAGAGCTCATTGATATGAAGATCAATGTGTAACATTTTACATCCATCATTATTATATATATTTTATAAAAAAAGTCTAATGAGGAGATAAATAAATACAGATATTTGAAATAACTCTTTTAATATCGCAGAGTTTTATACCGTAATAAATAAACTACAGATAAAATGTGCAATAGCAATGTTGTTTGCATTTTTTGAACATGCAAACAACATTGCTATTGCATATAGTTTTTTTATTCAATAATTTCTCGTTTTTTGTGAAATCTTAAATTGTTATTAGAGATAAATGTGATCTGCGATATTTTCTAAGAAGTTTGTTCCAACGATGATATAATAAGGCAAAAATTAATCATATTATTTTTATTTAGCATAATGCAGATAGAATAATGCAAAAACAGCCTTGTAACTTGAACTATGACAGATTTGAATCAATTGTAATATATATTTTGACTTTTCAAATGCCTATTGTGTTTGGAAAATATCAATCGAGATTTTTGTTTAAGGCCCGTATTCATAGTAAGACCTTATATTTAAGGCTTCCTTAAATTTATCTTCAGATATGCTCTACGAATTATTTCATTGGCTACTAAGCATCTAAAGATAAATTTAAGGAAGCCTTAAGTACAAGGTCTGATTATAAATACGGGCATAAATCATTACCAAGATAATAATTATATAAAAATGAAAAAAATTTTTAATCTGGAAACAACTAGAGAATTTGTATAAAGCTATTCCTTACAGAAGCAACTTCTAGTACTGGCCAATTTATTACTCAAAGACAGTAATTAAATTATTTATTTGGCGTACTACAAGTATTGAACAACAGTGCTCTTAAAATAAGTATTACTTAAAATAAGTAATTAATTACTGTCTTTCAGGCAGTATTAGATTTCTGTAAGAAACATTAAATATTACAGAAGAATTCAGAATAATCAAAAGAAACGCGGAAATGGCATCTCTGCTTTAAATAAGAAATACAGAATCGATATCGTACATGATTTATAACGCGTTATATATTGAGGAAATAAAATCTTATATGTAAGAAGAAATTATCTTCTAATGATACTTAGAATTTTCTATTCAGCGAAAGAAGATGTCGAGATGATTGAAAGTGGAAACATTAACGAGGCCGACGACGCCTTCATAACTGCGTTCTCATAAAGAAAGAATCCTCTAAAGACTTTAATATATGTGAAATAATTACACAAATTTATAATTAGAAATATTGCGCACCGCTCTGATGTAAAAAGATTTATATAAGAAGTAATACACTTTATACGGCTTTTTTCGTATTGCTATTATACATTTTTTTTAAATATATAATTTAGTTTTAAATATTATACATTGTTTTTTAAACATATAAATTAGTTTTTATCATTATATTTGTAATTATCTAATTTTCTTTTCTTAGAACTTCTCTAACCTTTTTAAAAGTTTCTTCCATTTTTTTATTATTTAAATGTCATGTTTCGATTAAAAGTTTACGTTACGTCGAAATATATTTCTTATAATATATTTATATTTATTTTATATTTATTAATTATTTTACGTTTATTAACCCTTTAAGATTTTGTTAATATCACATACGGTCTTAATTTTCGTAACATATTTATAAATTTTATATTATTATGGGGATCACTTTAGACTAAAAAGAATATCCTTTTTTGATTATTTTGATTTATGCCGTGAAATATATAGTTAATGACAGATAGAATTGCGTATATCGTTAGACTATAGTAACTAGCAAGTAAGTTTTCCAAGAATTTATATCAAGAAACATTTACATTTCACGATGCATAGTCACGTTAAAACAAAATTGATGCTATTAATGAGTGCCTGAGTGCTCACATGAATACAGCGATTAGTCGCGTAATCTAAACTGACAAAATCTAGTATTCCTATATAGGAACACTAACAAAATCCACGTATTTTATTCGTTTAAATTAATAAATAGCCGGTAGATCATTATGTACTTGTTTTCAAATTGCTAATAATCAAGTATATCGTGTGCCTCAGACGGCTCAGACTATTTGAAGCATCCGCTTCAAGAGTCTTCTTCCTCTTCATCTAATAGTAAGATCTCATAACAGGTTGTTTAATGAAAAACCTCCTGTGTTTGTATATTTAAAGAAAGTAAGTGGAATGTCTAATTGATTACGAATTTGTACGTACTTTCATACGTATAAGCAATTGAATCATATAGTATATGAAACAAAAGAGATAGTCATTCTATTCATAAACGTAAATAATAAATATTAAAAAATTGCACATATTGTCGAGAAAGCTATTTTATTTAAAAGAAAACTTAAGTTTATTCCAAATATTTCTGTAGGAGGTTGATGGTATTTTTAAAAAATAAACATATAATTATTGACGTTATTGTAGCTCTTATCATGTTCATTTTACATTACATCTGCAAGAGGCTAATGCAAAAAAAACTCAAATTGTGCCGAACTAAACAAGTAAAATTATAATAACATTATATCGCGTTAATTATATAGAATATCTTCTGTATAAAGTCTTACAAACTGTGTTTTTGAGACTCTTAAACATAAAGATAAAATCTTTTTATATATGTTAGAAACTGCTGATTTTTTAATTAATATTTTAATGTATTGAAATAGAAAAAATTTCCAGAGAATTATACATATGTACATGTACTTCCGAAACAAATCATACCATCAAAACTGCACAAATCATTTTGAGCAATGGAGAATGATCATTGAAATTTCTGAGCGCGATAAAACTTAAATGCAAATTTAGTATTAATACTTGCGATGTAAAAAGTAATGTAAATAAGAATAAGAAGAGACATCACCTCGCCCTTTTACATAGTAAACCGGTGTGAAGGTTCGATTGGAAAAGACAGTAAAAATGAAACACTGCCTGCAAATGATCATCATCGGCACGAGACTGTTCATTGTCCGCGACGATGTCTCGATTTACATTAAATATTGAATCGAATGCGAATCGTTTTTGTATTCAATAATTCAATACATACCAATTACGCATGTATAGGTAGAGAATTTTAGATAAGATTATTAGCCAAAAGCAAAACGGCGACTAGTTAGATTATTGAAGTAAACGTGAGACTTTTAATAATCCACTGAAATTTAGTAATACCACCGAATAAATGCCTTAAGCAAAAAATCTTTTATAAATCGGCATGGACTGAAAGAGGAAAGCAAATATTGTACATATTCTGCAAAAAAGTGTTGGAACAATGCATTTAATTCGGCTATTTCTTGCGGAATAAATAAGAATTGAGCTCCATAATTCATTTAAGTACAATAGTTGCGTTTTGTATTTATATTTAAATTATCATTAAGTTATTGATTATTGTTGACATTGTAAATCACAATCTAATAAAGTCTCAATTATTTCTAGAAATGTGATAAATTCGAAGAGCTATTTGAAGTACAATCAAATCGATGTACATATTATTTTTATTAATTACATTTATTAATTACAATAAAGATCGCAAAAATAATTCTCTTATTTTGCATCTTAACACTAGAACTATCAAAAAAAAGCAATTAAGACTGATCTATGATTTTTATAATGGTTTACTTTTTGAGATTTTTTTTTTACTTTTGTGGCAACGTTAACTGATTAAACTTATTTCTTTATTTTCTTTGTTTATCTCTTTTTTCGAAAAGATATATTGTATATATACATGTATTCAACAGTACATTCAATAATATATGTATAAAAATATAGTAAAGCTATATATATATATATATATATCTACATTCATCGTCGGTAGTTCTAGTGTTTTGAGATGAATAAAACGTGCGAAATACTTATTGCGATTGTCGCTTCAACATGCTTGTAATTATTAATTCTGTATAATAAACGTTTCGAAGGACAGAATGATTATTACAAAATTACAAAAAATAATGCGAGAATGGATCATGCTGCTATCTGCTCGTTGGATCCACTGCAGTGGCTTGCGTATAGACGGCGCGTTGCATACATAAGTGCCAAAGCCAATTATTAGACTAAGTCCACAACCTTGTTATAAGAGGCCGTAAGCCGTAAGCTTTAAGTTGTAAGTGACAATACTTATATCGACCACAAAACTTATGCTTTTAGGTCGTAAGAATTGGGTTTTGCTCAATTCGCTTAAGTCTAACGGTTAAAGCCTAAAATTTGCGCAAAAACAGTTTAAAGACAGAATTTATTGTTACTTAATCTCTTTCAACTTATGACTTAAGGTTTCTTAAAGCAAAGTTGTGGACCTAGCCTAATGATGTTAAAATATTTAACTCTTTAACGAATGAATTTATTGTTAGTTGAGAAATATTCTGTTGCTTATATTCCTAATTAATTTCAATAAAAAAATTATGATATAGATTAATTTCAACATTTATTTTTTTATATATTAGTAAAATAATAACGTTCGTTAGATTAATAAATTGATATTGTGACATTGATTATTAATAACAATTCTTTAATTATATATAATATTTGTACCATCTCTCACGTTGTCTATTTTTGATAGTGAATTTTTAATTATAAACAATAAGACAATTTAAGAATTGTCTGTAACTCAAATAGAAAAATCTGTTAGTATTTAATAATTCTCTAAATATTTCTTTCTATAATAAGCGATGATAAATTCGTGACAATTTAATCAAATAAATCTGTATCCAAGCACAACCACATTATCTATAACTGCGATTCCTCATAATTA